GTTTTCGGTTATAATAAAATTGTTTTACAGTGTTAAAAATAAAATATATATAAGCTCATTCTCCCTTCATTGTAAAGATATATAATTTTTAGAGAACTAAAAGAGATATTTTCTCAAATTTGCAGCTTGACTTTGATTGTTTGTCTTTTCTATTGTATGTGATTCATTTAGAAAACAAGTGGGATCTTTGTCTTTGTGTATGATTCACATAGACATTGATTTGCGTTCTTATCACAGTCATTCTGAAACTTTGTGTGGCGAACTTGGATCCATTCAAACCGTCGACCTTGAAATCATGTGACGATAAAGTTGGTGTGATTCCAATCTTATATCATATGGTATCGGAGCTAAAATCTCCTATCATCTATCTTTTTTATATATCCTGTTTTGTTTTTTTTTTCAATTCCATTTTAATATCAAAAACCAAAAAAAAAGTTTATGTTTTTGTTCGTTGATTTAATAAACTTTTTTAAAAACCATAAAAATAGGTTTTCTTTATTTTTCTTAAAGTTTAATTGTTTCTCATTATAAGGAAAACTAAAATTATTTCCTTTCTTTTTTTTATTTTCCGTATTAAAAGAATAATTATATTTCCTTTTCCTAAATACTTTTCGCCAATAAACTCTTCACAAAAAAAACAGGTCTGGTTTATTTTGAGGTTTTCTTGTAAAGGAAAGCGAAAAGAATTAAAAAAAATAGTTTTAGTTTTGAGGACAAAAGCTTTTGAAGAAGGAGTGAATGATGTAGTCTAAAAAATACGGTTCACTTCCACGGCTCATCAGCCAATGGTTCAATGCAAATCAATGTCAAAATTCAAAAGATTTTCTAGAAGATAATTCATTCATGGATATACCAAGAAAGTGTCTAGATACAAAGAACCAATCTCTGTTAATGTCGATTGATAAATCTTTCATTATATTTAATTTTTGATGGATTTTTGTAATTAATTTGATTTATTTTGTATTTATGTGGATTTATTTGATGATTGGTAATTTGAACCTATATAAGCTCATTCTCCCTTCATTGTAAAAGATATATAACTTTTAGAGAACTAAAAGAGATAGTTTATCACATTTGAAGCTTAGGTTTTGTTTGTTTGTCCTTTTTATTGTGTGTGATTCCCCTAAAAAGCAAGTGAGATCTTTGTCTTTGTGTGTGATTCACATAGACATTGATTTGCGTTCTTATCACAAAGTCATTCCGCAACTTTGTGTGGCGAACTTTGATTTATTCAAGCCGTAGGCCTTGAAATCGTGTGACCATAAGCTTGGTGTGCTTCAAATCTTATATCATTTGGTATCGAAGAATTGGGACCAAACCCGAACCAAAGCAAGAATCGAACGGGTACTCGATATACCTGAAACATAATTGAACTCATATATATTTTGGTTTTAGGTTGGGTATGTCCGGATAATTTGAATAAATTTGACAATTTTTTATTTGTTATTCTTTTCGGTTAATTTTGTTAGTTCAGATATTTTTAGGAATATTCGGATAGTCCAGATCAAAGTAACCAATTTAAGTGTATTATTTCAAGTTTAAAATTTTTTGTTT